TGTGTGTGTGTGTGTGTGTGTGTGTGTGTGTGTGTGTGTGTGTGTGTTTCAACGCTTTTATCAGGTGAAGTGGGCATTGCTTTCAGGGACTCACTGTATTAAGTAAATGATCTTAGATCTGGGCCATAACATCTTATAACAGAACTTAAATTGTTCTGTGTCAGGAGCATTAATGGGCCACAAAGGAAAACTAGGGAACACAGTACATCAGAATGTTCAAAGCATATTTAGATGGATTGCAGTGTTTATCTTAGAAGTCAGTTAATTCTGAACAACATGAATATAGAGTACATAAGGATAACCAGGACATCACTATAAAGGATCTCAAAGCACATCACTAATTTGGTTACGGGTTTAGAGAATATTTGATTTGTAAAGGCAAGTTTTAAACAGCATTTTTCAAAAAAACAAAACAAACAAACAAAAAACGTTCCACAAGGAACACGTGCTGCTCTTACAGAAAATGGAGGCTTAGTTGCCAGCACCCACACACTGGGTGCCAGCTGCTGTGAGTCCAGTTCCAGGAGATCTGACTCCAACTTCTGGTCTCTGCAGGCACTAGCCACCCATATGATTCACATACATACATGAAGGCACTCATATCCACATAAGAATAAATCTTACAACCATGTCATCCACCAGTTAGAGAGGTGTATGCCTGCAATCTCAGTAGTCAGTAGTCTGAGGAAGAATAATTGTGGATTTGTGGTACTGTATGGGCTAGGTGGCAAGATTCTGTCTTAAAAAAATTCAACAGACCCTTTGGGAGAAGAGAAGCCACAGCCCTTAAAATCAAATGCTATTTTCAACTCATTGAAGACACATCGGGTTTCTACACATTTACATCTCAGAAGTCTGTATGGCTATTAAGTTGATATTGTGTCAAAGTGGAACCACTGTCCTCCCTTTATCATTTGTACATAAAACAATGGTGAATGTTGCAATTAAATTGTATTTTGAATGAAATATTAACAATGAGTTTAGCCTAGACAAAGGAATGGGTACGGGGAATGGAGAGATAGGTCAGTACTTAAGAGCACTGGCTGCTCTTTCAGAGAACAGGGGTTTGATTCCCAGCACCTACTTAGTGACTCACAGCCATCTATCACTCTAATTTCGGGGGATCTGTGTCCCATAGGCACTCACTGTACACAAGTGCAAACATACAAGCAGGCAGAATACCCATACACATAAAATAATAATTTTACTTATAAAAATTGACCAAAAATCTACTTAGTTCTAAGATTTTAATTAGTAGAAATTAAAGCTAAGTGTTTTTATACTGTGAGCTCCCTGGTGTTTTGCTAGTATGACACAAACTAGAGTTGTTGCAAGAAGAGAAGCTCAGTTGAGGAGTTGCCTCCATCAGACTGGCCTGTAAACAACTCCATGGGGTTATTTTCTTCATTAATGATTGATGTGGGAGGACTCAGGTCACTGAGTGGTGTCATCCTTGTGTAGGTGGCCTAGGCTGTACATGAAAGCAGGGTGAACAAGACATGGAGAGAAAAAGCAGATATCCACCATAGTGTCTTCCTTCAGTCCTACATATAAATTCCACTTCGAGTTTCTATCCTGGCTTG